TCTGCTGCTTCTTTGGGGGATGCTTGTGATGAACCCGGTACAAGTCGCAGTGTACAGCAAACAGCTCTAGGTATTTTAGCACACCGATATTTTTACTTTTAATAAGCTGCAATAGAGACCTGCGCACTTCGAAACCAATGAATTCGCGTTGTCATTACTCATAGCACCTAATACATAACTCCCTCACTTTCCCCTTTCGCATACACCTACTCAGAAACACTGGCGACTGTCACCACTCTACAACCATACATTTTCCCAGTATTTCGCCCTGCAGCATGATTGCTTACAACCGTAAAAGGGGTGGGATCTGTGGCATACTGACCCTAGAAGTTCCGGTGGATAATTATGCAGCTACGTGGTACATGATTAGGGAATATCCCCTCAAATTTCAGCTTACGAGCTTTCGTGGTTACCGACCTAGAGAATTCCCGGCTAAAACTTTTTACAGTCAATGTGCATGACAGTTGGCATAACGACTCCGAGGTGACATTTGGCCGGGAAACCCACTGATGAAAATTTAGCGCCAGAGGGTGCTTCGTTGCCTACTTGAAATTTCCCGATCGTCACACAGACACACACAATGTGTTGTCACGATGTGCGGTTTCGCATTCGCATATATGTCAAAACGCATAATTTCACCAAATTTTAATGACAGCCGCCAAGACGTATTTCAAAACCACAGTGATTAGCGCATCTATTAGTATTTGCACAAAACCAAAAGCGCACTTTTCATTGAAATTCCAATTCAAAATTCTTTCCCGACAAAATTCTACTTTTAAACCTTGTTTCAGATGCCAGCCGCTCCAACACTGTGCAGGATGAGAGAAACAGCAACGCCGAACTTGGTGCCAGTGGGATCCCAGGCAGTCCTGACACTGACGCCTACAGAGCAGGAAAACGGGAAAAAGCTTTGGAGCGCATGCGGTTGCTTCGACAGGATCAGAATTACAAGCAGAGGGAAAATGCTGCGAACAGGGAAGCAATGAAAAAACGCAGGGCTTCCGATGAAGGCTACAAAGTAAGAGAAAGGATTGCAGATGCTGAAGCTAAACAACAACGACGAGCGGTGGACTTGGAATACAGGGAAAGAGAAAGGATTGCAAATGCTGAAGCAATGCAACAACGTCGACAATCGGATATTGAATACCAAGAAATGGAAAGGATTGCAAATGCCGAAACAATGCGTCAGCGTCGACAGACGAACATTGAATACCAACAATTGGAAAAGATTGCAAATGCCGAAGCAATGCGGCAACGTCGACAGATGGACTGTCGAGAATCGGGAAGGCTTTCAGACGCCGAGGCAAGGCAACAGCGACGGGCGGCAGACCCTGAATTCCAAGAGAGAGGATGCAAATGCTGAGGCAATGCGACAACGCCGGCAGACGAGCCTGGAGTATAGTCAAAATGAAAGGAAAATGAACTCAGAATCGATGAGGGTACGCAGGGAAGAAAATCTCGAATATAGACAACGAGAAAGGGAAGCTAACAGTGAAGCAATGCGGATTCGCAGATCAACTGATGAAACGTCATGAGAATGCGTTGAGAATGCAGCATCGACGAAGTACCGGAGAGATACGTGAGCAGGAACGCATTAGGGATTGGGAAGCGAAGCAGCAAAAAAGAACCTTCACTTACACATCAGGTGTTGAAGCATATGAAAATGCAGTCAAGGAAGGGCCAACGTACACGTGTAACTGCTGCGACAGATTAGAATTCCGACGCTCTGTTTCTGTACTCAAACTGTCACATCTGCAGCAAGCTAGCGGTGCAAATGAAGTCCGAAAAAATCTTATAAGAAATGTATTTTATCTACAGCAAGTCGAAGAATGCTTCTTTTGCAAAACGTGCGTACAGAGCATTAAATGCTGGAAGCAACCTCGTTACTGTCTTTCGAA